TCAGTATAATTTCCGGACTTAGAATTATTCCAGTGAACCCGTAAAGCGTTCCTTTATATCTGGATGAGTAGTCTGATAGAGTAGAGCATCCTAGCATATATTTGAGCATATGACGAGCATAGTACTTAGTATATTTTGTTTGCTTATATTTTTATGTAGCTTGAGGAGTCAGCTACCAGCACAGCCGCACTTACTCATTTTCAAAACCGATCAGGTGGGGACCCAGACTGGGTTATACATTGAGTTTAATAGTCGATATCACGTTCAGGTATGTATATGAGTTTTATCCACTTTGGGTTAAGGCCAAGTTTGCCTTCCCTAAGTTCTGGTGGTGGCCCAATTTGCCCTAGTTATACCATCAGAGTGTGCACACGGTTACCGGCGAGAGTGTTCCGGGAGTTACTGGCCAGAGAGTTCCGGGAGTTTCAGTTTACTTATATATACCAGTTTGTGATATCATTATTAATATTGATGTTTACTTTAGAATGGATTTTTATGGAGTACAAGTGGACCGTACTCACCCCCACTTTATATTTTCAGATGGCAGGGTCGGCGGGCAGGCGTGAGATGAGCTGTGGTGGTGGTGGTCGTGAGTTCCGCACGAAAGCTGTTCCCGGGACATTTGTTTAAACTGTTGTGTAAACTATTATAACCACGTATTTCAGACTTCCGCTATGTTTGCGTTTATTTTCGAACATGCATGACGTAATTTACAGACTTAAATAATTTTACCCAGTTCGCCAGTACGAACGGGTCCAGACTAATATGCATGATTCGGTAAAATATAAACCTGATTTCTTAAAGTCTAAACCAGACGTTAGACCTAGGTTAAAGAAGCGGGTTTTAAGCAGAAAAGTCCTTAGTAGCATCCCGAGATAGTTTGCAAATGATTTCGAAAAATTTATAAGCAGTTTTCGAAAGAGTTTAAATTTGCGAAAAATTGGCCCTAGTTAGCGGGGTGTTGCATAATGTGTTATGTAAAAGTAGGACCTATTAACTCCTTTTATACCCGAGTTATCATTTTGCCCATGTAGTCTCCTTACGAAGAAAGAGATCCAACCATATCATATTGTCTAGTTTAACACGTCTCTGAGATCTTAGACTCATTAGCGAGATACACTTACCATTTTTAACAAGATTATGTTTCCTCTTACTGTACGACTCCTAGGTCCTTAGATCGTAACATCGCGCTTGCGATCTAACCTCCATAGACGCTTTCCTGGTCGAAGTCACGACCTCCACCTTTAAGACCTGAAGGTCATATAGAACCCTCATCTGTCTGAGCTCCACAAAGTGCTCAGCTGCAGGTACCTTGAGCTACTAAATCGAGCTCCCTGACAAGGTCAAACCTTATTACTGAGCTGGAGCTCTGATAAATCGGTCGCAACAACGCTAACCACTCAGACCGGTTTACCGAGTCATTTTGGGTGCTATATTAAATATATTGGCTTAAGAAATCATAAGAAAAACGATCAAAAGAATAAAAGTCGAGACACATAAGATTATGCTCATCTTAAGATGAAATAGCCAAGTATATTGCTTATGGTTCATGGCTAACGCCTCCAAAATATAATGACTTTTGATTTGTGTGTAGCGATAACTGAAAAACATAATTTTTCAGCAAACAATATACTTGTTGTGAAGCTCTCAAGATAGAAATGAACATAAATAACATAAGATGCTTTATAAACTTTGCAAATCATGCAAAAGTGCTCTTAAAATCTAATGTTTTAATGAAATCTCATTCATGGGTATTTATAGATGCTCTTTGACAGCTCCAAGGGGTTCATGATATCAAGTGACACCATCTGGGATGTGCCCGGTCGCGAGTTCTTTAGAACCTTTCGATATGAGCAAATGCATCCAGGCCGCGAGTTCTTTGCGCCTAACTAGGGGACGAATATAGGCGTCATGCACGCGATAGGGCCTGGTGCGCACCTATATGTTGGGATCCCATACGCTCACATCCGGATTCAGAATCATGTCCGGTATTTTCCTACTCGTCCCTAACAAACCTTTCTAGCTGCATGATTATAGCTTGTTTAACTTGTGCAAATATTCGTCAAAGAACAAACATTTACGAATACAGTCATACAACAACATTTAAGTTACTTAAACTCAATTTGAGTTATATAAACACAAATTCCCCCACATTTCAACTGTAGAATTAATTTTTTGTTCAACCTAAAAGTTTTATTCTAATTCTTATACTTACAAAAACTAGAACCGATTCAAAACCAATTTTCTTACAAATCACGTTCTATTTTATATTTATATTTGATTTTTATAACGGAATCACTCCATGCAAAAGAAAACTCAAGTGTTGTTAGGGGCAAAAAAATTTGTCAATTACGCTGCAATACAAGTCAAGTTAGCTGCAGCCTGCAAGACTTTATTTACGAAATAAAATCAATATAAATATATAATTGTTGCTTTGTCTAATTGTGAGTTTGACTGTCCAATTCAAGTTTTTGACCAATTAATAAACAGTTGTTCAAAAAAGCATGTTTGGAATCTCAAAGAATAAAACAATATTTAGAAAAGAGAAAGAAGATTTCCGGACAAAAAGAAAAAGGAAAATATTAAATGAATTTGCGTATCTTGTAATTTGACTTTATGGCTCACACCTAACACAGAAGATGAGTGTTTTTCGTATTATCTTGAGAGGTATTTAATTACAGTATAAAACTAAGTGAAACTAATCCAAAACTTTTTGTGCCTAAGTGAAAATTTGGCCCACAAAGATCACTCAGTAATAACATTAATACCGAACCCTACCATAGCTGAGCCGCAAAGCTTCATCCTTCTAGACTTCATGCTTGAATTAGGTTAGCTATATTATAAAACAAGAGCCTCGTTCATAAATGTAGTTTATAATATGAAACAAATAATGAGGGGCCAATTTTTTTGGAATATATAATGAGAAATAGTGGGTAATATTTTTGGAATATATATTAGGTTTGGAATATATATGCGCGCACAAATTTTTTTCACGAATTAGTCCTCATTTGATCAAATTAATTGAGGGAGCAAATTTTTGACCTAAAAGTCATAAATTATGAAAAAAAAAAAGTCAACATACAATTAAACATTCTACATCATGTTTTATATTATGCTACTTTCATAACCAAAGGGCCATTTCTGTCAATTCAAGTGGGCAAAATTAGATACCTAGAACCAATATAAAGGGCGAAGTAGCAGGGGTAGTATCGTCCAATAAAATGTTTGTTGGATAAAAAAGTACGTATCATATACCTTCTCCTCTTGTTCTTCACTCTCTCACCACCCAACCCAACAGCCTCCAGTCCACCACCCTCAATTACATACAAAACCCATTATTTATTTATTGATAGTAAAAATTAAAAGAAAAAGTTGGTAGATGCATGATGAGTAGTAAAACACCAACCTACTAATTGCCTCTATTCCACAAAATCAACGCTGCTCAACCCCATCTTCCCATTTGCAATCCACACAAAAATATAAACCAAAACTTGACAAACACTTTTGATTTTCTGCCTCGGTTTCTGCGCATCCAACTACGACTATTATCTTTCACTTTTTGGGTTTCTACCTTTTTTTTTTCTTTACTTGGTTTCTTTAAGGTATTCGCTTCAGAAAACTCCGAAAACTGCTCATTATGATGTCTATTTTGTGTGTATTTTGTAAGTTTGCTTATTTTTCTGGTTTGAGAAGTTTTGTCTGTACCGGTTGACTTGTGGTCTTTCGCTAATTGTTGGGTTTCGGTATGTGGGGTTTGGCATTGGTGCAAGTTTGTGTCTTTTGAGTTGTTTTGTTGATGGGTTTTCATTTTCTTGGGTTTTACTTTGATTGATTTGTTGGGGCTTATTTGATTTTTCCTTCTTTTTGCTTCTTCGGTTCCTTTTTCTCGTTCTGCATCCATGAAAGGTGGTGGGTTGATGGGGTTGACTTCGAGTTCTTCCAATATTACGAATTTGGGCATTTATTTAGATTTGATCAATTCTTTTTCTGGTTAGGTTGATAAGTTATTTTTGGTTCTTGAAAATTATCTCAATGGCTTTATTCTGCCACCTTTTTATCTTTTCGTTGAGCCTTGTTCAGGTTTCAAAAATTTTGTCACCTTTGGGCTGGTAGGTTTGTAAGATTAGATTTGGTCATCTCTTTAACAGAAAATTTAACTTAGTTGAATTCTTGTTAAAATTTAACTGTTCGCGGCTTTTATTTTTCAAGGGATTCAGTTTCAGGGTTCTTCTTTAAGTATAATGCTATCCATGAGTTTCCATATTCTGTTAAAATTTAACTGTTCGCGGCTTTTATTTTTCAAGGGATTCAGTTTCAGGGTTCTTCTTTAAGTATAATGCTATCCATGAGTTTCCATATTCCTATTTGTCCAAATTTCTCTCTTTTTATAGTTGAAGTTTATTTATAATTAAACCAAGTACTTTACAAAGTACTCTGACAAGGCACTTCATTGGGAATCATTAACCGTGTCTTCTGAATAGAATTCAAAGATTTCGTAGAACTTTGATTCAGATCATAGTTATGCTCTTGTCGGCATGGCATATTGCTGATATTTGGAAGCAAAACTCGGGATTATTTAATATTTTCCCTACTTTGTTTACTGCATTTTGATAGTGCTGACTCTTTTGTTTCTTTTTTTCTTAGTTGTTAGTTTCATTACTTGGGAAGTAATTTTTTTCCAGTTATGCAGTTCCTTACATTTTAGTTTTTGTGAAATAGTTCATTTGTTGTAGCTTACCTGATTCTTCGCCTTTTAGGAGAACTGAAAAAAAGACATGGTGAGCATTCGAAGACGCAAGCTTTTAGCAATGTGCTCTGGTATTGTATATAAAATGGGCTATATTTAGTAATACCATATATTATGTCATTGTAGAACTGTAAAGATTGAGCCATTTTACTTAAACTTATGAGGTTGCTTAATTATTTAAATTTTCAGTTCATTTCTTTGTTTGAAACCAGTTGCCTTGAGTAAAACATTTTCTTTGTGTTGTTTCATAGGTCGAAATTCTCTTTTGGCTCAACTTTCTTGGGTTACCCCTCCTCAAATTTCTGCTGAGAACGCGACACCAATCACTGTTCATCCTCTGCCGTTAGAAGACAGTTACAAGCCAAAAGAAGTAATTGTACGTTTGTTCACTAGAGTTCGTATGCATCATTGAGTCATTTCATGTTGTCAGCCACTAGTTTCTTTGTGAAACCCGACATTTGTGTTATGTTTGTGCTATGTTAATTGATAAACGTGAAAGCTATAAAATGACATTGATATCTGATGAGGTCTGTTTGAATAAACAACAAGAAGTTTGAGAATAAGTTGATAACTGTAGTTTGTAACGAATTTATGGTAGAAGTAAATCCACTTTTTTTCTTTGTTGAAAATGTGTTATTTCAGAAGATATTTCCTCGTTATTCAGAGATATTGCTTTGTTCTGAATGAGCCCCATTATGATATTTCACTATTCATGTATTTTTTTTGTCATAAAAAATTTAGCAATATCGATTGTCAATTTATTTATTTATTTAACTGGATAGGAAACTGCATTGGGAACTGGGTCCGGTTCTTCAAATGGTTCCGCTTCAAGTCCATCAAAAGATCATGCCCTCCATCAATTTCCCGGTCTGTTTTTCCTTTATGTATCTCTTTGGTCCTCTAAAATTATTAATTTTATTTTGTAGCAGCTTCATTGTGTGAAATTTAGCAACTAATGGAGGTTTTAATCTATATGGTTTATTTTCTTGTTATATTTTTCTTAATTTAGTGATAAAAATCACTTTCTGTCTCGAAATCAAAATTTGAACTGCACAGAGATGTATTTAATGTTAGTGCATGCTCTAAGACCAGTATATTCGTCCATGATTTAAACTCTCTCTGAATACCTAGTTATGAATCAATGGTTCTTGAAGTTGCTAAATGTTTTATATGTGTAGGCATGTAATTCCTGGCGTAAGCCGAAAGGATGGTAAGCTAAAAATATATGGATCTACTCCGTTTAAGTAACGGGTACAGTTTGTTCTGGATAAAGTCATGTGCTTAGGCTTTATCTTTTGTAAGAAAGCAGAGGGTTCTCTAATATATTTGTCTCAATGTCTGTTTGTTTGAAATATATTTAGAATACTAAATTTCAATAGATGCGAATATATCCATTGAATCTGTGTTTTATAGCAAGAACCATTTGAGTTTTGCTTTACATTACATGGGACCTAATTTCCACTAAGGTGGTATAGTGAGAGTAATGCCTATAATATGTACTTATCCTTTTCTTTTGATTATTATTATTATTATTATTATTATTATTATTATTATTATTATTTTGTTCCGTTGTTTAGAAATCAAACGAAGAAAGAGACATAGGAGAAAGCAAGTGGAAAACCAAGAGCCGTGTATCATGAGAGGTGTCTATTTCAAGAATTTGAAATGGCAAGCTGCCATTAAAGTCGATAAGAAACAGATCCATTTGGGTACCGTTGGCTCTCAGGAAGAGGCTGCTCGACTGTATGACAGGTACTGCTATTGCTCGATAACACTTATTTGTTGTGTCATTTTATACTTCACATTTCGAGGAACAATCGTGACAATATATATATATATATATATATATATATATATATTAATTATCTACATTGGTATGTTCTAAAGCAGTGGTAGCTTAAGGGGGCGATTGTTGTTTTCTACACTAATAAAACCAATCAAAACTCAAATTTAACTCAACTTTAACCTAATCTCACTATCTCCCATATTATCAATATAATTAAATATTATCAACTAATCATTCTTATAGATGACATCAACTTTAATTCACTATTTATCAACTCACATAATTTTAATTAACCATCACTTTCAATCATTTTTCTCCTACTTTACATCAAATCAACTTTAAATATTATTTTAATATATCCACTAACAACTAACCATACCACTTTTCTTCAAAATTAACTATAGATAAAAAACAAATCAAATAAAAACTAATTGAATCCATAACCAATCACCCTTGAGTTTAGAAGAAGAGTGATGTTTCAGAGGAGAAACATGGTGGTGATGGATATATATATATTTTTTTATTTTCAAAATCTTTTTTCTGGTCAGGTAAATGGAGATTGAACAGTAAAAAGGTTACTTGAGAAAAAATGGAATATTTTTTAGGTTGTGAATGAATTTAAAATAAAATGTAATGATTTGAGTTGATATGATATGAAAACATTTAAATGTTAATTGATAATTATTGGTAGTAAATATGCGATGTGAATGATAATGTGAATTGACAATTGGAATTGCAAATATCAGTTATAAGAGGGTGGTTGAAGATGGTAAGTTATAGAAAGCTTATTCTTTCTTCCAGGATAAAAAAATAAAAAATATAAAAAAAAGAAAGAAGTGGAATTAAAACCACTGAAAGAATATTATGACTACTATTATTACTTCAAATAAGTAGAAACTAGCTGAAAATAACTTCTGTTATTGATTGCAAATGCAACCTCTGTAATGGCCGTCTTTCTGTATATGATATTTTTTGGGATTCACCGAAACATGTGAAAAGGTGGATACGAGAGAATAAGAAGAAAAATGAGGATAGGTTTTTTGTAGTAGTCTGATGAATGATGATGCTAATACACTCGAAGAAGGCATATATACACACTGCAGAAAACAAAATACTCTTACCAAATCAATAATGTACACTTAATCTAACAATATTTTGTAGCTCGTCATTGCAGGGCGGCTTTCATGTGTGGAAGGGAGCCCAACTTTGAACTATCGGAGGCGGAAAAGCAGGAATTAAGGAAATTCAATTGGGATGAATTCTTAGCTATTACTCGTTCTGCCATCACTAGCAAGAGTAAGTGTCTTTTACTTATTATATGTCTAGTACAATACCCGTGTATTACCCAAGTGTTGAATTAAAAAGCATACATAAAAAACTATTAAAGCTTTTATTTAAAAAATTTCTTTATAACTAATATAATTTAATTTTATATAAAACATCACTTTGTGATTTAATTAAATTGTCAAACTATATTTTTTCAATGATAATAGTTAAAACACCCTTATACTAAATGAAAATGTCAACTCATCTTGAATTTTTTTACTTATACCATATAAGAATATCAATGTTATTTACTATTACTGAGTACAAATATATGTATATATAAAAGTATTAAATTAATAGAAATAATATGGTGATATGTATATGTATAAATGTAGAATATGTTTGTTGAATATTAAGTAAAAGAAATTATTTTTTTGGCTTAATAAGACGTCTAATAGATCAAGTATCGTATGAGGTCTTGCTTCATAGTTATTTTTTTTTAACTTTATATGTAATTTTAGAATTTGGATAATTAATTATTTGTTTTTATTAGATTGACAACATACCAATTAGATTTTAAACAAATGTCATTTTTAAAAAAATCATATCATATAATTTCATCTTCGAAATGAGTAAAATATGAATATTGGAGAGAAAGATAGGGAAATAAATTAATATGTTTGATTTAGTGAACATATGCAATAGAAAGAAATGAAATAAAAATAAAGTATTACGGTAACTATGGAAGAAAAATATGGAATGAAATAAATAATGGTTGTTTCAATGAAGGACAATATCTATATATTTGGAAATAACCATTCTTAATTGACATTTGACAAGACACGCGAGCCTAATTATGTAAAAATCCAAAACATAGAATTGTAACAAATATGATCCAGAAACACACGAGACTGCGACTTAGGCTTATATATAGGGAGATTTAATTACAAAACTACCCTTGTTTTTAGTCTTGTTAGAAAAAGACAACTGTTTTTCTAGATTACAAATACCCCCTTAAAGTATCGTAAACACGTCTTACGCTTGGATTTTCTATATCATAAAAGAACTTGACAAATTTTTGTAGCTATCCTTGTATAGAAATTTGTTCTAACTGCTACAGATCTTAAGTTCACATGTATATATATTTCTTGATTCATCAGAGAGCCAGAGACGAAATGGGAGTTTGCGAAGAAAACATGAAGACAACGAGTGGGTAGGCGAGCAAGTGCGCAATGGCTTTTCAGCCTCAGAAGACGATATGTTAGCACCTTGACCAAAATAACTTTCTTTCAAATTTGGCCGAGGCTAAAAAGAAAACTCAAAATTAAGCAACTACGTTTTAGCCTGTCCTGCCTTCTCATTCTATTCAATTCTTGGGTATATACAAGAACACATAATTATTGGTGTAGCAACACATGAACCACACACGATTTGACATTATAATCATTATCCTTTTAAATTGTTGAAGTCATTGCACAATTTAATGTGTTAATGGAGGGGACAGCCTTCACGTTTAAGAGTTCTTGTTGTACGATGCTCTGGTTGGGTTAAATGTACTTGCACGCATGGGTCACGAGACTTTTAATTCAAGGGGATTGATGATGCTCTCTAGTTGATATAGCAGGGTTCAAATCTGAGTATTTTAATTATTGGTTTTATTTTCCTTCTCCATGTTTATCTTCCCAACTCTATTTAACTTACCATACCATGTTAATTCTCCAGAGTATTTGGTTAAAGGAAAAAAGAAAGAGTAAAATTAGAACAATTGGGGAGCAAGGGATGAATCCATNACGAATTGCATAATATCGTGTATGTATGTGTATCTATCTATCTATCTCTCTCTCTCTCTCTCTCTCTCTATATATATATATATATATATATGGAGTGGTTCAGATGCGCCCCGTTTTTAAAAGTGAGGACGTGAGACCTGATCTGGTCCGTTCACCACTCATCTAATCTAACGTTCAGAATTAATTTATTACATTAATCAATATTTCCGATTTCGCGGGCGGTACGTCTTCAGAACTCTACTTTACTTTCCCTCTCCATTTTCGCACTTGCTCCTTGTTTCTGTTCCATTTTCTTCCATTTTCGATTTCGATTTCGATTTCGATTTCGCGGGCAGTACGTCTCAATTTCTGTTTCCGTTTTATCCTTCGTAGTCTATTCTCGCAGATTCTCGTCTTAAATTGGTGAGTATTTTTGCTGTTGTTTTTGTTTGTAATAACTTTTTCGATTTTAGGTTTTTCATTCTTTCATTTAATAGATTAAAGTAATATGTTTTGGTTAGTTTTTGCTAGGTTAGCTGTCTGATGCTGCTAGGTTAGTGTATGATGTTGCTAGGTTAGTTGTCTTTTGCTGCTAGGTTAGTTGTCTGATGGTGCTAGGTTAGTTACCTGAAGCTGATATGTTGGTTGTCTGATGTTGCTAGCTTAGTTGTCTTTTGCTGCTACGTTAGTTGTCTGATGCTGCTACGTTAATTGTTTTTTGTTGCTAGGTTTTTTTTTTTTTTTTTTTTTTAAACAAACAACGCCCCAGAAGGGCGGGGGATTGGGCTGGATCCCCAACCTGTGCATAGATCAGGGCCCCAAAATCAGGAGCCCAAAATGTCAACGAACAAGATACAAAAGTCTATAGAGTCTCACAAACAAAGTCAAAACAAAAGAAAAAACAAAAAAGAAAAACCGAAAAACGAAAAAGAAGCAAAAAACTACAATACAAAGCCGATCTTCGGGCTAACAGATGCCCGAAATACATGTCTATACTAATGAAAACAGAAATCCTAAACTAGTGAAAGCGGAATGCTGGATATCCAAGCTGGTCCATCCGTACAAGAGTGCGAAGGCGGAGTGGAGCAGTGTCGGTCTGGAATGTATGTGTGCCTGGTATGGTGGCGCCAAGGCTGGCCAGGTAATCAGCCGGTCTGTTCCCCTCACGGAAGATGTGCGTGATCCTATGATGGACTGACCGAAGTAGATCTCTAATGCGCATAAGCGGGTGCTGAATCTGCCACGAGCCCTGATGGCCCGAAGTCAGGAGGGTGGCGACAGACTTAGCATCCAGCTCGATCCATATATGACTAGAGAGGTGGACAGCAATCTGAAGGCCAATCTGTAGTGCCTAAATCTCTGCATCGTAGCTCGAGGAGGCCTGAATGGACGCGTGGAAGGCGGTGATGAGGGCGCCGCTATGGTCCCGAATCAAGCCTCCTCCTCCGGCAAGTCCAGTGTGGCGATCAAAGGAGCCATCAGTGTTCAGCTTGACCCACGGAGAGTCAGGTCGAAGCCAAACAACAGCTCTGGCCCGAGGAGGCCGAACAGGCGGTGGTGGGGCCACAATGTAGCGATGCGGTGGCGTGTAGCCTGTCCAGTCTCGGACTGTGAGCCTGCCCAATGCGATGAGGAGTGAAATGTGTCTCTCTACCTGCAAAACAATGTGAGAAAACATAAAAGTAATATCCCTATGCTTCGCACTATTCCTTTCTGTCCAGGTGAACCAAAGGATCAGACAAGGATGAGGAAGCCCACGTGTCTAAGGTGTGTGCTCTGTGAGAAAAACTCAGGAGCTCAAAAAAACTGTATGTGGTGGGTAGGGATATATGAGTCCAAGTGGCAAAATGCTCCCACACTCTCCTCACAATCTCACTCTCTAGAAAAAGGTGGGTAAAGGTCTCAGTCTCATGGCGTCCAGTCTCAGAACAACACACACACCGAGAGGGGAATGAGATCCCTCTCGCGTGTAGCACAGTATCGACGGGTATCCGGCGCAAGGGAGGCGCCAAAGGAACACCGAAATAGTAGGCGTGAAAAGGTCACTCCAAATAGCCCCGAAGAGGAGATTAGGCTGATCCCTCAGCCTTATCTGCTCCCACGCCGAGGTAGTAGAAAACACACCTGATGATGTAAGTTTCCACCTTATGCTATCTGAACCGTCCCCCGAGATAGGGATCTGCTGGATCTGATCTAATAACTGCTCGCTAAAACCCGCACCAGCCCCCAACTCCCTATCAAGCTTCCCCCTATCCACGACCCATTCGTCCAGAGGTCGCTCACGAGTAAGTAGGGGGAATGCGACACCTGCCTATCCCTAGACAACGGCCTATCACCTACCCACCACTCATCCCAGACACTGACATCGCCCCCGCCCAAAACCCAAAAGATGTGATCCTGGGCTCGCCTCCCGACCCTAGTGAGGCGCTGCCACTGTCTACTATCATGATCAACAGCCGTGACCCAACAAGGGTGGTTGGCACGTCTAGGGCAGTACTTGCCGCGAAGGTACTGAGCCCAAAGCGACTTTCCTTCCCTGAAGCGCCACCACAGCTTGTATGAGAAAGCTGTAACAATGTCCCTGAGGCGGCGGATGCCAAGGCCACCCTCGGGGAGGGGGCGGCAGATAGAGTCCCAACTCACCCAGTGAGTACGTCTTCCCCTCCCAGACCCATCCTCATAACCCCAGAAATAACGAGCCATAATTTGGTCAAGCTCGTCAAGAGTAGACCTAGGGGGGTCGAGGACCATAAGCAAGTGAATCGAAAGAGAGCTAAGAGTGCTCTTGATCAGCGCTAGCCGACCACCGAAAGAAAGGTATCTATGCGACCAACTAGAGATCCTGTCGATCATCCTCTGCCTGACGCCCGCAAAGAGCGCTCTCGTGAGGTTGCCCTTATATAAAAGGACCCCGAGGTAGGTAATGTGAAGGTCGCCACGTGCAAAGCCAGTAATGTCGTGGACCCGTTGAGCCCACCTGTCCACGGTGGCAGATGAAAGGATGAAGGTGCTCTTCTGCACACTGACCAACTGACCAGTGACCAAGCCATAGTGCTCCAAAAGGCGCATAAGCTCGACCAGTCCATCATCATCCGCCCGGGTGAAGATAATGATGTCATCCGCATAAGAGAGGTGAGAGATGGTAGGACCATAGCCACGGGTGCTATAGGTCATATGAGGAGAGTCGTGGATGAAGCCGTCAAGGCAGCGAGAGAGGTAGTCCGCCGCAAGAATGAAGAGGGAAGGGGAAAGGGGGTCGCCCTGTCTAAGGCCTCTAGAGGAGGGAAAGAAATCGGTGGGGCTGCCATTAACCAGGACTGAGAACGTGCAATGCTCCACACACGCCTCCAGAAAGCTGATCCAACGCTCAGGGAATCCCATCCTAGCCAACGCCTCCCTAAGAAACGGCCACTCAACCCTATCATACGCCTTAGCCATGTCTAGCTTCAGCGCGATATTCGGAGCCCACTTCCAGTCTGCTCGGGAGATGTCGTGGATCATCTCCTGGGCCAGAAGGATGTTATCACTAATGACCCGATCCTTGACGAATCCACTCTGGTTCGGAGAGATGAGGGAGGGGAGAAGAGGGGAAAGACGGCCGTTAAGAATCTTCGAAATGAGCTTGTTGGTCACGTTACACAGGCTGATGGGCCTGTAATCGGACCAAGAGCTCGGGTTGGGTCGTTTGGGGATCAAGACGACAGAGGTAGACGTGAAGGAATTCGGCATCCGGTGGCCGGAGAAAAAATCCAACATCGCCTCCTCGACGTCAGTTTCGACAAGATCCCAGCAGACCTGATAGAAAGAGGGAGGAGAAACCATCCGGGCCAGAAACGCTGTTGGGATCAATCCCGAATACAGCATCCCTAACCTCTTCCATACTCGGGAGCTCACAGAGGCCAATGAGATCGACCGAAGGAGGGATGGTGGGGAAAAAAGAAGCGGTCGGGGCCACGAGGGACCCTCTGTCAAAGGTGAAGAGGGTCTGGAAGTGAGCAACAGCCGACTCCCGAATCTGAGCCTCCTGGGTCAAGGATGACCCATCAGCCTCGATACTATGGATGTACGACTTAGCACGCTTCTGCCTAACGTAGCCCTGGAAGAACCTAGTGTTTTGCTCGCCCTCGGCCACCCAGCGAACGGCCGCCTTCTGCTTCTAGAAGTCCTCCTGCATAAGGAGTCGGAGCTGGTACTCGGCGTGGCAGCGGTGCATGGCAGTCCTATTCTCCGGAGTGGGATTCAGGTCATAGGCCCGCTCAGCCGTCGCATGCGCACTCTGAGCCGCAGCAAGGCGCTGATGAAGGTTTCCAAAAACATCCCAGTTCCACTGTCTCAACCGACGCCGCAGTCTGCCGAGCTTCGCCTCGAGATTGCGCATCCCGAATAGCCCGGTCGGCTGAAGCCAAGAATCCCTGACAGTGTCGTGGAAGGAGTGGTGGCGAACCCACATGTTTTGGAACCTAAACAAAGAGCGGCAGCGGGTGCTCAAAAATCGGCACCG